AGTAAATAAAGTATAAGGATTTACATTTTGAAATAAACATAAGTTATTGAAGTGAAATTAAATATTTTTCTACTTTAGCTAAAACCGACGAATGACAATGGCTAAGTCGATAATTCGCACCGATTCTCTCTCGACAGATCGTGTTAATGGTGACTTTGACGAAGATTTCGTCGTATGTTCGATATGTTCCAATATTTTATGGAAGCCAATTGCCTGTAAGACATGTGAAAATGCGTTTTGTCTCAAATGTATTCGTTTATGGCTAAATGAAAAACCAAAAATGTGTCCGTTCAACTGCCGTTTTGAAGAAAGAAAAGCTCCACCAATCCTTGTTAAAATGTTATCGAAATTGAAACTAGAGTGTCGTCACAAATCGAGTGGGTGCACACTTTCAATACCATATGAAGCTTTAGAAAAACACGAATTACAAGAGTGTCCTTATAGAATCATACAATGTTCTATATGCTCAAAAGAAATGTTAGAAAAAGATTTTCGTAGTCATCAAGAAGATCAATGTTTATCAAAAGAATTTACCTGCCTTAAATGTAATACTATTAATAACCGAAGCCAACAGCATTCTGAATTACAATGTTTAGAAATGCAAATTATTTCTATCAAAGAAAAACTTGATATATTGGAAGAAAAACCAAAAAGAATCGAAGATAACTATAATCGATTATTACAACTATACGAACGCCTAAAACGTAACGCTAATTATGCAGCAAAGATACAACTATACAGGGATGCAAGTATTTGTGAGTATCTTTGGCTAAACAATCATATAACTACCATAAGATTGAGAAAGAAAACTGAATCTTCATTCTGTTTTCCGATATCTGATTAGTTATTTGTCATAATCTGGAACAAAATGAACATTTGGAACGAATGACGCTGTCAACTTGATAATTAAATTGAATTTCGTTTATATAGGGCAACCATCGGCTCCACCATACGAATCACCGTCACCTACAAATTCGGAAATCGGATCATCGACACTTTTTTCACAATTAGCAGCAATCAGAAACGGTATATCAAACAGTAACTCGAATTTCTCTCTGAGAAGATGAAGATGACGGTATAAAGCAAACTGTGAGAGAATGATTATTGTTTTTTTTTCTATTAAAGTCACGTTCGATCGATAAAAATCAGAACAAAAGAAAATATGTTCCTACAATAGTATATGTTAAGGTCGACTTAAGGGGGGGCCCCCTCAGAAACGAACTTTGTTATTTTTCATCCGATTTCAACCAAAATCTCAGAGAATGTTAGTCTTGACTAGAATAGCGTATGGTTAAAATATCTCCCCCAAATCTCAAAGAAATGCACAAGTTCTAGGCAATTCATTGCCCTTTACGCGGGGAAGGATTTCACAATAAGGATACAAGCTAACAAGCTCGGGCAGTTTTTAACTTGTAGAGTACCCTTAGGGCCAGATCCTCACAGAGCCCGAATTTTGAATTTCCCTTTGTTTGATTTTTAAAAATACTTTTTTGAAAAATGTTCAAATTCAAAGTGCTAATAAATACGAAATATATGAGTTTTTTATTTCAGCAAATGAGAAATTCAAAAATCGGAGCCTGTGAGGATCTAGCCCTAACTGTCCTCTATTCAACAAAAAAAAATTATCCCTTCTCTATTGAGTCAGTATTAAGAAATCCTTCTCCGCGTAAACGGTAAACTCGAAAAAATTGATTTTGAGAAAAACGAAAAATAAGTATTAGGAGTCGATTTTTCCGAAAATCACCTGATTTATATATCAATGTTCAAGACAGGCTATAAATGTGTGATCTTAATATTAAGTGTTGATAGTCTCTTAGTGATTAGTATATTAAAAAACTTTACGAAAGGATGATGCAAAGAGAAAGCAGCCTAAAAAGTCGAAAAACCTTGAAAAAACACCATGAAAATTTCTCGAAAAATATGATAGTAGGAGCAAAGTTTTAGATGATAAGTTCGTCAAAATCAATTCATTTTTCGATAAAACATAGATATTCTGAAAGAAGAGACTTCAGTGCATCTTTCTATGATAAAACTTTAATTTCGACTCATCTCCGAAAAATTGGATTTTCTGAGGGGGGCCCCCCTTAACCGATCATCAATTTTTCGAATTTGTCGAATCTAAGATGAGTCTATCTCGGTATACACTAAAGACTTCTTCAACAGTTCTCAGCGATACATAGCAGGTTGTGTCAAAGTATCTTGTCTAAAGTTTACATTCGAATGATATAAAGAACAAAAGGCTAATGACACACCTTTCGATGTTCCTGATAGGCAGATGAGAATAGCCATGACCTGATACTGGTAGAAATATTTGTTAAATACGATAAATGAATCATATTGCAAATGGTGATTGCAATAAAAAAGAGTCTTTCGGATATCAAATAGTTTCGATGTCGGCTATGTTGTTAATGCTAAAAATGAATCCTCAGTAAAAAAAAGAAATGTGATTTCGTATTTACAGGGCCATTACGAATTTCGACGATTAATTTTGCTCAAATACCTCGCGCAATAAAAAATGGTGGACATATCCCTAATGGTTATGCTGGCTTCAATTGGGAAAATGCATACTATATGTTCGAAGATTTTGTAAAAGCTCGTCAATTAAAAGGCTTTACAAATGCATTTGTCAACTCAAGACAATATGTGGCATATAATGGGAGAGGTGATTCAATGTCATTTTTCTTATGCGATCAATCCAAGACCTTTGGTTTACATTCATTCGAAGCTATCTCAATTTATCACGAAGATTTCAAACTTTCTGTTGCTGCCTATCGTGTTGATGTTTTATTTGATACTAAGTTTGTAATGTTAACCACTGCCAAAGCTACAACCTTTGAAATGGATTGGGAACAAATTGATAAAGTAGTATTTAAACCTGAACGAAATCTTGAAACTCTCAAACCGGAAACATTTGCTTTAACATGCTTAAACTTACTTCTTTGAAACAATTCGTTCTACACATATGTTAGTCGTTGAAAACTATTTCACACACTTTGACATTATATTCATATCGATCCTTTGTTATTAATGAATTATAATTGTCACAAAATTTTTACTTGTTCAAACCACACTTTATTAGGCTTTTTCATCCTAACAAGGCAGTTATAATTTCTAGATTGTTTAAAATGCCCTAATCGAGAGAATTTCTATTTTTTTCGACAACCACTGCCAATTCCGATGAAGTATTAGTTCTTGATTAGGGATGCAAGGGTGACGATAATCGGCTCATACCGGTAACCGTTCCATCGGTGTGGCGCGTGGGTGTGAGGTGTGAGTGGGGTTAGGGGTGTGTGTGCGGTGTGGGTGTGTGGGTATGGGTGTATGGGTGTGGGTGTGCGGGTGTATGGGTGTGGGTGTGCGGGTGTATGGGTGTGGGTGTGGGTGTAGGTCTCCTACTAATGGACATAACACCCACCACCCACACCCACACACCCACCACACATCCACATCCACACCCACACCCACACCCCACACCCCACACCCAC